CTCTCTGTGATTTACTGCTGGGCAAGTTCACGGTCACCGAGACCCAGGTCGTGTGGCGCAGAAAGCAGGGAACGCTCCATGAACGAGCTCAGCGCCATTTTCGGGAGCGGAGCCGCGGTACAGGCTGGACTGTCAGATCTTATTAATAACGCTTAACGTCTAGGCGAAAACAAGACAAGGGAAGCGTAATTTGTTGATGGGGCATTTAGTTCGTAACGAAAGGAAGAAGTGGTTCAAGGAACATGGCGAAAGTTAATCAAGTGGCTGTTTCTGTTTGCCTTTTCAGAGCTTGCCAAATATTTATGACGTATCATTTTTTTTTACCAGCGCAGTGAGGAAGGCCGCGGCTCATTTGCATATGGTGTTTTGGATAGCCCACCAAAGATAAAATAAGTGCTTAATACCAAATAAGCTAGCACGTCAGTTGTAATAGCTATTTATTCAGATAAAAATGGCGGCATTGCCGACTGCGATGTTCAGTGTACCAACATGGACAGCTTTTACAAGACGTTCCGAGTCCACCATCTATATGCGATATCCACACAAGAGTTCTTGCCACTCACAGTATTGCTGCCGAAGACAACGACATTTTCACAGTGATGCACTTCTGTAACAGGGTGCTCGTGCATGTCCCATGCGCTTAACGTGCACCGGCCAGCAGGTTTCCTCAGGTAGTTGCCGAGAGGACGACGGTGCTCACGATTTTTCGCGAGACAGGTCTTATAACGGACCAAGCCCAGTTGGATCAGCTTGCTCACTTACCCTTGGCTGGGTCCGAGGTTCAACGTGGCGAAACGAATCGCTATGTCACAGGCTTGTTTCGCCGGCCTTGCCACAACCATGGACCAGAAACGTACAACTCACGGAGGCGGTTCGAGAATTCATGGAGATGGGGCGGACACAGTTGCCGGGGGGGGGGGGGGGGGCAGCCGGGGTCGTATTGAGGTTCTTAACTGGCGTGACTTTTCCCTGGAACAGCGAGTTAGACGCTACAAACCGTAGCTTTGTTGAATTCTAAGAGTCCCGCCTTTTCGGGGTCAGGATGCGTGGATGCAAATGACGGGAAAGCGAGTCAGGAAATAGTCAGGCGAGAGAGACGAGACGAGTCAGGAAACAGCTCAAGTCGTTTTCCAAAGGTATCTGTTTCTCAGTGAGTTCCGAAACTCCCCAAGCGAGCCGCACGGCGCTCTTAGTAAATTCTGGATGTCACCCTCTTGAGAGTCATGCAATTTTCCATCCGTAGATAGCTTGACTGCCTTTTTTCTTTTCGTGAGCATTGTGACCCCTCCTAGCTGGGCCAGGTGGTCTCCTATGAGAGCCACTGAGCAGTAGCAATGGTTTGGCTCCCCAGTGCGAGATGCATCGGTAAAATACCGCATGCATGCATGAAACAAACGATGCATTCACCAACAAGCTTATAAGTGCTTCAGGGCGCGGCGCTCGAAGTTCCTCGCCAACGTAGGGGCGGCTTAAGCTCGAACGGAGCCAGTTTTGTTGACGGGACGCCGATTGCATCACTGGACGACGCTGGACAGAGCTGCTGCCGGGCAGAGGAGCGGCAGCGCGCGCCTTGGCGGCACGTCACTCTCCAACCCAGATGCACTTTCAAGGACGCGATAACGTGATATCCCCATTCATTTCCATCCCATTATACAATCCAAAGACGTTGCAGAACAGTCCAAACGGTCAGATCGGGGAAGCACAGATGGTGAAGGTTATAGTGTCTGGGTATCGCGGCTGACAACAGCAGGCGTTTGTGTTGCCAGGACATCACTTGACACCCGTTAGACGTTCGAGGTTACCGCAGGTCAACAGGACGTCTCTTGGGAATGGTTTTCGAACCAAGCTACGCGTGGCAGAAAGTTGGTGCCTGCGAGCGATCACGATTGAAATTTCGATGCGGTTTATAATGTGGCTGATGACAGATCTGCAGATGCTTTCGGATGAAGTAACCAAAGGCCTGGCGACGGCCGAAAAAGGAGAGGAAACCAGAGAGCGGTGATGGGGTGGATCGCCCGCAGATCCGGCCAGGGGCGGCACCAAGGGACGCCCTTGCCGGGCATTGGAGTGTGCAGGGATGACAGGGGACCGCAGGGCGGCGCAGCCCTGATCCCGCTTCTCGAGACGCGCGGCGACATCTGGCACGCTTCTCGAGCGCGTCGCCACCCCGCTTCCGTAATGCGAGCGCACCGAACGAGCTTGTTACGAGCGCATAAATAACGCCGAACACGCGTTAGCGCCGCCGTCTGCAGACTGCTAGGAGGGCGACTCGACGTCCCGCACGGCCTGGAAGTAGGCGTGCAGGCTCCTCATGCCCCCAATGAGCTGTTCACGGAACAGCGGGCTTACAATGGGCTTTACAATACCGGAGAAAACTTGCAAACGTCCGCGGCGTGGGAGTGAGAAAATCCTACCCATCTAGGGAACAAACGCCATCAGCAATTGCCACTAATAGCAGTACTCCCAGCAAGACGAAAGCCAAATATTTCATTCACGGATCCATTTACTGGGAATTTCATCCCCGTGCGAGGAGATTCCTCTGCTGTGCTTTCTCACTGAACTCCGCGGCACCGCACACTCTCCGCCCAGTGTTGCTAGGCGGGCCCGTTAGGAAATCCCCCACACTTTGAATTCCGGACCGGTTCCTCGTCGGTAAACTCACGGGTCGACGACGGCGCACCCTGCCATGACTTGTTGCCCGGACGGCACGGCCATGGGCCTCGTAGACTGCCCGGCTGCCGACAGGTGCGGCGCTGGGCCGTACTCTCGCCGCCTCCGTGCTCTCGCCGCCTTCGTGCTCTCGCCGCCGCCGTGCTCTCGCCGCCTCCGTGCTCTCTCCGCCGCCGTGCTCTCTCCGCCGCCGTGCTCTCTCCGCCGCCGTGCTCTCGCCGCCGCCGTGCTCTCTCCGCCGTCGTGCTTTCGCCGCCGCCGTGCCATCGCCACCGCCGTGCTGTCGCCACCACCGTGCTCTCTTCGCGCCGTGCTCTCTCCGCCTCCGTGCTCTCTCGGCCTCCGTGCTCTCTCCGCCGCCGTGCTCTCTCCGCCGTCGTGCTTTCGCCGCCGCCGTGCTCTCGCCACCGCCGTGGTCTCCAGCCATCGGTGGGCTGCGCGCGGACCGGCCGCCGATCTAGACCTACTTTCTTCCGATTAAAATACCTCTCGAGCGTCATTTAAAGGGCGGCGGCAGATGGCGGGCCTGGCGGTCGACTCTCTCTCCCTCTCAATGCTTGGCGACAAAGGCCACTCTCGCTTTTGTAGGGTGTGACGTCACAGACGCCTGACCCGACACCGGTGGTTCGCTCCAGCCCGCGTGAGCAGCCGGAGAGATTTAAAAATCGAACGCTGCAGCATGGCGAGGGCTGACGCCGCGAGACCGTCCGCCGGCAGCGAGGGATGGGCTGCACATGACAGATGTACGCGCCCTGGGCCAGGTCGGACCGCATTGGCGCATGGTTGGAAGTTTGGCGTAGTCTTGTAGCATCACTGTCATAAAGCTATCGCGGCTGTTAGAGAGCGATGTACGCCCGATATGCCACCATACAAGGCGGCGGAAAAATCCGAAAGTCAAAAATCATCCCTCAGCTGGTTTTGTTGGATTACCTCTTTAACTAGTTGAGTAGGTCTCTAGACAAACATGCGATATTCTTAGTTGTAGCCCAACATCAGGATTTACGCCATATATATATATATATATATATATATATATATATATATATATATATATATATATATATATACATGTTTGTTTTCGCGCAGAGCCTTGGTGACCTCTGCTCCCTCCCCAATCCCCGCATAGCGTCCCCAGCTGGCCGCCGCTGGCGCGGGTCTATGCAAAGACCAAGAGGTCGGCCTCTAAGGCACATAGCAACAGTCGGCGGCGGCGCGCATTCCTGCTCCTTGGTTGGAGGTCTCGGTGTGCTACCGACCGTGGTCCGCGGCGCAGGGGGCCGACGTCGGCAGCACATGCCCGCCACCCCGCTCACACTGGTCACAGGGGCGGGGTAGGCACGGGCGGCACAGATGCATCCACCAGACCACTTCAGAGGGTTAGAAACATGGCGTCCCCACGGTGAACTCCACTCTACTGCACATGGAAATGCCTCTATGGGGCCCATATACATGCCCTATGCATGCCCTATAACATGCACTGTTGAATAAAGAAGGGAAATTCATTTTACGTCGGCTGACCAGCCTCTGAACAGCTTGCGTTCTTGCTGGCTTACCTTGCCCATGGAATGACTTCCTTTCGGCCCGTACTGACTGTGTTGCGTTGTAGATGCTTGTGACAGACCTTCAAACAGCCTTAACCGATTTGTGCTCCGCAAAGTGGTGTGAAGTCTGTGGGACACTGATCTGTGCTGTGTGTGAGAGCTTTTTCGTCGCCGCGATTGGTCTGTGCTGCACAAGTGAGACATGTGTGACCTTGAATGGCATGAGCTGCGCAAGACGTGAGCTTTGTGTAACCCAGCATGACGTATGCTGCCCGCGAGCGTGGCCTGTGCGCGACCCAGACTGACCTCACTGTACATGCTAATGATCTGAAGTGGCATCGACTTACGTGTGGTGAGCATGGGGACTGTGCGACTCTGGCCGGTCCATGCTGCGTATTGAGACTATGTGACCCCGGCTGACTTGTACCAAGCACAAGGGCTTTTAGGTGACTCGGACTGGTCTGAGCAGCATACAGGTGATCTCCATGTGGCCCTGGCTGACCTGTGCTCCACGTAAGTATCTCTCCGTGACCCGGGCTGACCTACACTGCACCAGAAGACCTATGTGTGACCCTGACCGAGCCGTTCTTAACGCTGCTGTGGTCAAAACATGACCCGGACTGACCTGTGTTGCACCAGAAGACTATACGTGACCCTGACCGAGCCTTTCTCGACGCTGCTGTGGTCAGAACATGACCCGGACTGACCTGTGTTGCACCAGAGGGCTACACGCGACCCTGACCGAGCCTTTCTTAAGGCCGCTGTGGTCAGAACATGACCCGGACTGACCTGTGCTGCACATGACGATGAAGGTCTGTGCCTGTCTCCGCACGTCAGGTACCCTGGAGGGCGGCAGGTACCGCTCGAGAGACAGCCGATGGAGCAGCGGGTCCAGGAAGTCGTGTGACGTCACAGCGTTTATCTCCCATCGCAGCCGGTGGAGCACCAGCAGCTCCCAGTCCTGCAAGAGGTCAGGTCAGGTCAGGTCAAGTCAAGTCAGGTCAGGTCAGGTCAGGCTAGGCCATAAAAATAAAGCAATTGCAAACACCAGAAGCCTCCACTCTTGCCCGGAGGTCAGGTAAGATTGCTCATAGGTGCCGATTTGTATTTGTTTTCCCCCTCTCCTCAGGCTGGGCTGAACCCTCAATGGTGGCTTGGTCCGCAAATTTTTTGGCTGGAGTCTGGTACAAGAAAAGAAAGTTTTAATATCACGCCAAGCCTATATATGGGGCGGGGACATCATCTGATGGTCTTTACTGCTGTGCTGTTCAAATATAGCTATTTTTCGTCAGTTATGCAACATCAAGCTCGTCGTAATGTGAGCCAAAAATTGCTACAGTTACACAAATTTACGTCCCTTCTCACACCATTGTCAGCTGAAGCATTTTCGAAACAACCATTAGCTTCTAATCCAGTTACATGTGACGTTCACGACAGCGGCGACACGAAGATGGCTGTACAGGCACCGGAAGGGCTTCGAATGCCAGCCAGACAGTGAGAGGTCAGAGCGGACCAGGCGCTGAATGAGAATGAGCCGGTCTGGCCCTCGGCTCTCCGTGACGTCACCGGTTGTAATCACACAGATGGTCGCTGCAAAGAGAAGCCGGCAGGTGGTGACAACCAGCTCCGTCATCCACTAACGACTGGAGGTTAGGTGCCTCCGAGCCGAAGGACCAAACACGACACGGGCGGTGACGAGGCGAGCTTATGGAGGCCACCCACAATCTCTCGCGGCTGGGCTGGCGCCGGCAAGAGCTCGTGTGAGAGTTGGTAACCCATCGCTGAGATCATCACGACCTGCCCCGCTCCAAGGAGAGCGTGCGCTGCCGAGTGGAGGCAGGGGCACCGGCGCGGAACGGCGCGCGTAGCCGTCTTTGGCAACGCCAAAGAGACAAGGCCGGGCCCCGGCGTCCTGCCTGACGTTCAGACAGATGGTTTTAAAGACATAAGCTGACGCTGCCCTTCAGCAAGCAGCGGCGACCGAGCTGCGCGATCTGGCGCTGACGTAACGCCTGCTAACGCATCGCAACTCAGGCGCTCCCCGTCCGGCAAGGACAGCTAACTCTTCCAAGAAGTCTCCCCATCGACGACTCAGTGCAGAGGACGACAGCGCGGCGTGGCCGACCCCACAGCCGGGAAGTCCGTCGCGGTCGTCGCCCCGGGACACCAGCCCTCTGAAGGGGGCGTGGCGGCATGGCCGCCCCGGGAGATGCGCCTCCCATGAGGCGTCGGCGGCGCCGGCGCAGCGGCACGCGGCAGTCGTTCCAGCCTCATCTCGGCCGCCAGCGGGGGCCATCGAGACGCCGCTTTGATCTCGCATTGCAGCCGTCCGGTGACAGCCCGCGGCCGCCCAGCTGACCTCCCGGTCACCTTGGCGGCCCCGTATCGGCGTTACGACGGCGAGGCGTCGGCGAACACCGGTATAGATCAGGCTCAGGTGCGGAGACCACCCAGCCGCCGCCGCCGGCACGGGAGGGCCAAGACCTGGAATGTGCCTCCCGAGCCCGCCCGGCGTTCCGGGAGCTGCGGATGACGCCGGAGTTCGAACCGGGTGGCCGCGGAGGCTCAGAGGTCGCCAGACAGACCCGCAGCGGCCGGCTGGTGTCGCCGCTGGCTGTGGACGACGCCGTGGCTCGAGCCGGGTGGCCGTGGAGACTCGGAGGTCGTCCGACAGGCCCACGGCGGCTAGCTTGTGTTGCCGCGGCTCGAGCCGAATGGCCGTGGAGACTCGGAGGTCGCCCCGATAGAGCCGCGGCGACTGACTGGCGTTGCCGATGGCAGCGGACGGGGGTCTGTTGACAGGATGGTGTTGCCCGACATTGGCCCCTTGCTCCGACGGCCGCGGAGCGAGCGTGGCCGTCGCCGAACAAGGTCACCAGGTCACGGTTCGGCCGCCGCTCGGCCCGTTGCGAAACGAGCCAGACGGTGGCCGTGACGCCGCGTCCTGCGAGACGCCGGGGGCCGAAGTGCGCAAGGGCAGACCCAAGGGGACGGGGAAGCAACGGGCTGAGATTCCATAAAGAAGGCAAAAATGTGATTTCTCTCTTCCGGCTTCACTTTCGGATAGCTGGCGCTGTGTCCCGCATTTAAATATCCGATACCGGTTGTGCTCCTGCATGAGAAGACGGGCAGCGTCGTGGGGTGAACGCTCGTAAATTCGTGATCGTTCGGGTCGAATGCGTTGCCACAGATACCCATCGGATGTCTCCACCACTCGCTGCCCGGCGACAGATGGGCTGGGCGCGGCCGGCTTAAGTCAGCGCCATCCCTCATCTGGGAGCGCACGGCCTCCAGGAGCAAAAACGCAGCGGTGCAGACATGCAGGAATTCGGCAGGGCCGCGCAGAGGCTGCGGGGCATGTCGACCACCGGGGCCGTCCGCTGTTCTCCGATGCATCAGCTGAAGCGACACCAGGCGGCGAAGGACGGTGGCCGTCGGAAGGACATACCCAAACGTCACTCCCGTCCTCGACGGCCTCAGCGGCAGCGGTGTCACAATGGCATCGCTGGTCAGGTGGACACACCCAGGCGTCCCCTTGAAGTGACCCAGGTGCCGGGTCACAAAAGGCAGCGCTGGCTGTGTCGTTCGTCTCTCTTTCGTTTTATTCGGCCCGGCTCCAATAAACGGGTGCCCGCTATTAATCCCATCGGAGGATTGCCGGTCATGAGACGGTCCTGGGAGGGCGTGACGACGTTAATTATGTCCGGCGACGAGCCGGCGGTGACGGCTCGGAGTGGACGGCGTCACACGGTAACGTGACGTCACACGGCGCATACCAACGAGACGGAGGGCGAGTGGCTGCCCGACGGCGTGTGATCAGGGTGGATCGAACAGGAGCGCGAGGGATTATTGGAAACATGGCCAAGCCCCGGCCAAACTTCGCGCGTTTTGAATGCTTTTCTTCTTCTTCTTTAGTGACAGCACCACAAGTCGACTGGGGCTATTGAATTCACCAAGCAATTCTTTCAGCCATGCTTACAGGACGGACAACTATTATTCCGGTGCACCCACTAACCGATACCTCCTTCCCACACCGTGCATGCGAGACCAAACGCGACAAATTACGCAACAAAGCAGCGTATTGGCGTTTGCGATTTTTGGACCATAGCGTGGCAACGGTTAAAGAACATTGCGACACAATCCGTGGTCACACATAGTGGCAGCGCGTCACTCATTCTCTGCGGCCCATGCGAGGCCTGTCGAACAGTGACTGTTGAGTTCGCGAGGGGCGTCGGTACACGGGTACCCCGCTGCCGGCCCCCCCCCCCCTCCTCCCGCGATGACGCCAGAGGAGGGGGGGGGGGGGGCAGGAGCGGCGGCCGCGCAACGGGGCTCCTGGTGTAACCCCGCCCTCCGGCGCCGCCCACGCCATCGCCATCTATAACCGGCCAGGTCGGAGCACTGTCGGCATCATTATGCATTTTGATGAAGGCTGGCGAGGGCCGAATTCCTCCGCCCGAAAGGATAATCGACCAGAAGCTGAAGGCCGCGGCCTCAGCTGACCGGCGCGAAACTCTCTGGACGTGGGTACATCCCGGCTTTTGGAGTTACCAGCTTCTGTTAGGACCGGCAAGTCACTGAGGACACCGTTATGGACAGGCGGTGCGAAACGATAAATGCTAAACCGAGAGGCATTTGAAGTGTGCGAAGCTCTCTCCTCCCAGCCCCATCACTGATTCACGACGTTACTAGGCGGCCCTGCTCGCCATATGCTCAGCCGAAACTAACCCCGGCCACATCATTTACAACTCTTCAGCTTTTCTTTGGCAGCTAATCACAGGCAAGGTCGGGCGCCCGATACACCAGTCATTAACTCCAGTTTGTTTGTCAATATCTTTCCACTTTCCCATCGTCTGTGTGAAAGCGAGCCCGTAATCGCACGGCGAGTCACCGGCAGAGAGAAATGGAGCGCCGCCATAACCCCACTGGCTTCAAAAGCGCTGAATTTAACGATGCCGCGCCTGCCAGTGGCAGACGCCATTGCCGGACCGCGCGGCGCGGCGCGGTGTGTTGTGGCTGCGGTTGAGGAGCCATTGCGTACGTCCGCGCACCGGTAACGAGGCGTGGCGAATGCAAATGAGAGCGACATTTGTGGACAAGAGACGAAACGAGCCATCCGCTGCGATTCTACGGAGAATGGTCAAGGATACGCGTCTGGACAACTGCGGCTGGGCTCATCTTTTAAACTTTGTGTATGCCGTTGGCTATTTTAATGGATGGTCAATGGCTTCGGTTCTGAAAAGCCCCGAATAGCAAGGTCAAATGTCACGCCTACGGATGTCAGTGAAGGCGCGCATGCCTTTTTCAGCTCGCGCACATCTGCGCATGTGCGAAGACAATATGCGTTGTCTACCTCTGCGTGGTTTGAAAGGAATCGGCGACAAGCATTCGTGGCTTCGGAATATTTGGAGTTTTGGTAAGATTCCATGTGTCTGTGGGACAATTTTTCGCCCTACGTGTTAAATCAACGGGCACTAAATCAGAAGCAATCACGTAATCTGGTTGCACTACAGTAAATTAGCTTGCTAATCTGTTAAAACAAACCAACACAAAAACAATCCCATGTCTTTCATGAGTCGGAGCCCCCAGACCCGTCAAATCCCTCACACAGCCCGAATACTGATCGGCCGGTAGCAACGCTACTCTCAGATTTTCCTGCCTTTTCTGTAGCTCCCTCAGCACCACATCTCCAGACAAGGTCTGCACTATTGCCCCCCCCCCCCCCTCCCCCTCCCAGCTGGTCCATTTCCGCCGGCAAAGTTGAACGACAGTGTGCTGGTATGTGTCTGTGTACCGTTCAAACACTCTAGCCGCACATACAGCCACACACGCGGGTGGAGCGACCAGCTCGTTTGCTTGGCTCGAGCGGGAGGGAATGCCGCCGAGCCGGACAAAAAGCGGCGGCCGTGAACCTGACGGCCGTGATTCACGGGTGCGGTGCCGCACACTCCCGCGCACGAG